CCCCAAAACCCCAAAACCCCAAAACCCCTTTCTCTTTCCTAAAAATTGAACCTTCTTAATCTCACTTAAACTTTCATCTTAAATAACTTCCTCTTACATTTCTCCATCTGTCTTATATAATATTTCTCTTTCTTCTTAGACCTAATCAAATTGCCCTCTTCCTTATTCAACCTCTTAACTATCTGAACTATTTCATCACAATCTTTATGCTTCACCTTCGGCTCCACAGGAACCTCCCTCCTCTCAAAATTAAGCGTCATTAATTTCTCAATAGTACAAGTTTTCAGATCTTTGGCTGAGATCAGAGGAGGGCGGGGGTCGGAGGAGGAGAAGTTGAATACTGAGGCTCTTTTAGTGGGGTTTTGGGGGGAGAAAGTGGGGGCGAGAGGATGGATTTTGGAGGGGGATTTGGAGGCAGTGGGTGGGATTTGGATGTTGATACTGGAGTTGTGGGGGAGGATGAAGGATATGTCTTTTAGTTCCTTGGCGGTGGTGTTTTCTAGGGTAGATGGGAGGTTAAGGGTTGATAGAAATCAAAGAGAAGGAGGTGAGAGAGGTATAGATAGTAATAGTGATGGTTGATAGAATATAAGAATTTCTTACTTTTAAGCTTTACTGGGGAAGGATTATTTTTCTTAACAGTAGAATTTTCTTTAATGAATGATTCATCCCTTCTAATTGTTAGGTTAATAGGAAAATCAGAGCTCAACATATGAGGGCTCACATCAGGCTTAACTTGTGGGAGTGCCAGAGATTTTTCTTCATACTCTCTTGTAAAATCATTTTTATTCTTTTCATAGCTTTGCAAGATCCTCTCGTACTCATGCAGTTTGCTATTTTCTCTCTAATTTTTTGAGTTTCTTTTCTCTCTTTCTTTTTCTCTTCTTCGCTTGTAGCTGTAATAGATTTGCTAGATTTTTATCAAGATCTTTATTTCAGCCCTTCTTTGGCTGCTCTGACATCGATTTTTCCATCTTTATCCATGAAAAGATCTCTAGCATTCACCAAGTCCTTGTATCTTTGATTAAACATCCCAGTCTGAGTTGAGCAATAAATAGAGTTAAGAAGACTCTTTTGGACGTAATAATCTCCTTTATTTCTTAATACATGCATTGAGTCTTGGACTTCAGGAACCTTTAATTTCTCTTGATGCTCAATTCTTGTTAGAGATCTTGTGAGGTTAGCTTCTTCCAGCATCTTCAAAGTTTCATCAAATGTGTCATTTAGCCATCTAGAATGATCATTCCTGCTTGTCTTTATGTATGGAAGCATGTGATTCTTAAGAGGTTCGGTAATCTCATCTGTTTGAGTGAGTAAGGCTTGGTGAGACAGACTTGGTTTGATTTTCTCCTGGATTAACTCTTTATTTCTCTTTTGCCAAAATTTATTATAGTTATTTTATCGATTTTAAATCTTTTTCCTTCTTCATCAGCTTGTCAATGATCTAGAATTAGTTTAATGGTGGTTAAATCTGAACGTTATAGAAGATATTAAAGCAAGCTCATCGTTTCCAAGCTTCATATTTTAATGATAAAGTCACCATTAGAAAAATTACCTGGACTCCAAACTTCTTGTCATAAAATTTCAACTTTTTATAAATCTGCTGTTGTGGAAGGTAAGATCTTTGAGGTTTCTGATCTTCTTCTCTTGCTTTCTCAATCACTTTGGCAACTTTTTCATGAAATTTCATTTTCAATATTATTATTCCAAATCGGGGTTTTGGGGTTTTGGGGTTTTGGGG